GACTGGGACTGGGACTGGCTTCTCTCCAAATTACAGCTGACTAGAAAGGCTCTTTCATGACATCATCGGCTGGCTTGCCATATACCAAGTCTGGCTTTTAATGTAGCAAAGGGCAGCGTTCTACAAAGTAATTCAGATGTGTGCTTGTATGTGTCTTAATGCATACTTGTTCATTTTTAACATGCGATTCAACTGCCTTTTTCACTTACAGAATGCATTCAAAATGTTATATACAAGACAGAAGTAGGTCAAACATATTAAGTAATTAATTGTCTCTCACATTAGATTTTGAATAGATCACTTCCATTACTCACTCCACTGGGCCTTTTATACAGATCGCTTTAAGCATCCTGGCGATTGTGTGGAGGGCTTTGAAAAGATCTTTGAGTGGACTCTGAATAGACACAGACAAACCACACAGGCTGTCCTCGCAGGTAATCTTGCATTTCACATTGATGTTGTTCTGTGCACTGGTTTGGAGGATTGTAGTGTGAAAACAATGGCTCTGTTAAAGTCCAGAGTAAACATTCACTTGTATGCACAGCGCTGGATTTTTGTAAATGTGTACTTATACGCACAGGTTTCATATTTTGCATTTATTTTTTAAATGTTTTTTGCTGTAATATCCACACACTAAAAAAATAAAAATACTGGATCAAATTACTGGATCAAGCTATTTTTTCAGCTTAATTTATAAAAGAAAACTGTAATAAATTAAATTGACAACACTTTCAATTGTCACTTTTAAGTCAACGGGTTTTCACTTTTTTAAGTAAAGTTAGTAATCCCTTTTTAAAGTCTTTCTTTATGTTTTACCAATCTTTAAACATTGTACTTATTAAAAATAAGCCAAAAAAACACAATTCCTGAGATTGTTTATTGTCCAATACATTTAATTTAGTAAAAAAAAAAAAAACTAATAAGTTCAATTCATAACTTCAATTCCAATTCTGTATGTAAATTGTGCAAGCTTATTTCACAATATTCAACACAAACATAACTGCACTGTAAAAAAAAAAAAAAAAACTGTTAGTCTTAAATTTTTAAGCCAAATCAAATTAATTAGCTGAATCCACTGAACTTATGTCAAACTGACTGACTTAAAACAGCTTGCATAACTTATAAAATGAAGTTAGAACATTTTTAACCTAGTTTAATATGTTACAATGAACTAAAACGTATGCTGTCATGACTAATTGATCATATAATGTTGTACAGTGCGATTGAAAGAAACAGGGATGAGTCTTCCTTGTGTAAAAAGGACCAACATGATGCATGTTGGTGGTGAGAATTTAAACTTCAAAATAATCCTTTAGAACAAGCTTTACTTATTTCATGAAGAAAATAAACAACATCATCTGGGGAAAAGTAAATCTGCTCATTAAACAGATAACATTTTCAAGATCCCACTACACAAGTTTTCTTATGTAATATTAATCAAAGTTATTTTAATTGGGCACTACCAGCTGCACATACGAATGCAGATGTTCAACTTAGCAACGTGTCAACAAGACGCGCTTCAAGTCAGTCAGAATTCATGTGCAGATGGTGAGAAAAGTGTTTATGACCATGAGAAGTGCACTTAATGTACAAAGAAATATCATCCTGGATGAATTAGCATTCATAGATAGGCACAGATAATTCTGTTTACACATAAACAGTTTGTAAACTTACTATAGACATATTGACAATATTATGTAAGAAATCAAAACAAATGTTAAATATATAATATCACTAACAGCATGTAAGATTTTATGTACAACTAACCGTAATTTTTGTGGTTATATAATATCATATAGATATTTATTCATTGCAGCTTAAGTTGATGGAAGATGGACTAAATGATGATGTCCAAAGGACTAGAACTATTTGAGCTCTGACAGGATGTTGACTAACACAATCCATTTACAATGACAGTAAGTGTTTCTTCTGCATTTTGATGCCTCGTTTCTCTTTTGTTCAAGGCTCACAAAATAATTAGAAGCTTTTATCTTCACTGTCGTTGCTCTGCCACATTTACAAAATCTCCATAAAAGCTTGAACATTTTTTGACAGATTAGCCAGACCGAAAACTCTTGACCTGAGCTGTACAGCAATACTATGGTGTAAAATTACATTCCACTATCATCAAGATCCTTTTGTAACTGATTTTACACAGATTAAGGTAAAACCAACTATATACTGCAGTTTATCTTGACCTACTGCGGTTTGTAGCTCAATGTTTGATGTGCCCTTCAAGACTTTATAAAGACCTATCTCAGGTGAAGAGATGACAGTGGACACACTGCTTTTCTTAAGCAACACAAGGTGGAAGGGAGGAAGCTAAATTAGGCCAAAGTCTAAATATTTCACAAGTTCTCATCTATTATTGACCAATGGTTTCGCCCAGCCAGGCAGATTAGAAATCAAATCTCTCTCCAGCCAGCGATCAGATCCCTTAATTCTCCACACAAACTCCCAACCATAAACTCTTATGCTGCTCTTATGTTGGCGTTATAATAGAATTGTACTAAGCGTACTAAGTGCCAGTACAATTATATCCAAATTTCATTTTAAAATCATATTCATAATATATCATAATATATATATATTATATATATATATATATATATATATATAATATATATATATATATTCATAATATATTTCTGTTTAACGGAGAGAAGATTTTTTTCAACACATTTCTAAACATAAGAGTTTTAATAACTCATTTCTAATTACTGACTTATTTTAGCTTTGCCATGATGAGAGTAAATAATATTTTACTAGATAATTTTCTATACTTCTATACAGCTTCTTAAAGTGACATTTAAAGGCTTAACTAACTAGGCAGGTTAGGGTTATTAATCAAGTTATTGTATAACAATGATTTTTTCTGTAGACTATCGAAAAAAATATTGCTTAAAGGGGCTAATAATATTGACCTTGAAATGATTTTTAAAAAATGAAGAACTGTTTTTATTCTAGCCAAAATAAAACAAATAAGACTTTCTCCTGAAGAAAAAAATATTATCAGACATACTGTGAAAATTTCCTTGCTCTGTTAAACATCATTTGGAAAATATAAAAAAAAATCAAAGGGGGTGAATAATTCTAATTGCAACTGTATGTGCATAATAGTAAAAAACTATGTTCATTCAACTTTTTGAGGGAATGGGTTTACTTATTTTAAATAATTATAAAGTGTCAACTTTATATCAGCGGGTTACTCACTTTAGTGATTAAGTAAAGTGAATAATCGTCTTTTACAGTCTTTCTGTATGTTTTACCAATCTTTACCCAGTGTAAAGCATTTAAAATAACTTGATTAAATATAAAAAATTCACCGAATCCAACCAGCAAGGCCTCACAATTCAGCAAAACGAGAAAAATTTAAATATATATATATATATATATATATATATATATATATATATATATATATATATATATATATATATATATATATATATATATATATCTTTGCAGCTTGTTCAAACTAAGTTGAGCTAAAACATTTGAATTTTTGAGATCTTCTTAAATTTGTTATGTTAACTTAATTAATCTGTGTTCTGGAATAAATTGTGTGGAACCCTGCATTTTGGACCATCTCTGATAGTTTGCAAAGGTTAACCAAGTATTTATCTTTTTTTTTCTATTCAGTTAGCTACCTAGCTTTTCAAATAAGTGCAGTGTTTCTTGACAAGTATTATCAATCATAATAACCACACATTAACTGGCTGAAAACCTTTTAACTTCATTTGCGATTGATTTTTTTGCAACAATAATATACTAGCATGTGCAAGTGTCTTATTACAGAACAAAAGCATAGTTTGTTAAACACTCACTGACCAATTTCCAGTAGCACGGTGTGAAAATTCAATTCAATTCAATTCAATTCAATTCAATTCAAATATTTGCATGGTATGTAAAATCTTACTGTTCAAAAGTATTGGGTCAGTAAGATTTTAAATAATTGTAAAGATTTGTATTTAACAAGGGTGTGTTAAATTGATCAGGAGTGACAATAAATGTGATGGTAATAATATAAAAATTATTTTGTAAATTATATTGATTTTATCATATAAAATCTACTTTTACTTGAACTCTGGCTATATGATCACCCTTTTTTCACCTTACTTAACAGCACAAAATGCTCCACTGTCCATAAAAGGTATGACTTAACATTAATTTTAATAACTGAAAAGCACACACAAACACATATTCTTATTTAGGGATAGTTCACCCAAAACTGAAAATTCTGTCATCATTTATTTATCCTTTATTTTCACAAACCTGTTTGAGTTTTCCATAAACAGAAAAAAAAGCTATTTAAAGAAATGCTGAAAACCTGTAACCATTGACTTTTCATAGCATTTGATTTTCTATACTGAAGTCAATGATTACAGGTTTCCAACATTTTTTAAAATATCTTAATTTGTGTCCATTAAAAAAAAGAAAACTCAAAAAGGTTTAAAACCACTTCAGGGTAAGTAAATGACGAGTACATTTTTAAAAATTTAGGGTAATCTATCCCCGAAAGCAAATATCCTTTAAAACTCTTGTTTTAGCGTGGTTTTACTACACATTCTTAACAAAGAAACTAATGTCTCCACATTTGTTCCTTTGAAAGTGAACACTAATTAACAAGTGCTTGCGTAACAACTGTCAAAAAACAGCAAAGCAAAATTGATCACTAGTAACTACATCTTTGTGCTTGTTAAAATCGTTTCCCTTCAGCAGTGACAAGTTCATCTCAACAAGCCTTTTTAATAACTCTCGGTTTCTGTAGCCACATTAGATTAATAGCCGACAATGAAATTAATGTCGGATGAAATTCACTGGCAACTCTAGTTCACTGATTAACTGTCCCACATCCTCTCAAAATGGCTGCCCTTATGAAACCCTCACCGATGAGGTCAAACATTCATAAACACAAGTGAATACAGCAGTCAGCTCTATAAACTCAGGATATAAACTTAGGATAAAGCACTGGGTCTCAGGTGCAAGTGGGTACTTACTGGTTGTGTTTCCGGACATCTGGATGATGCATTTAGACTCTTTACCGATCTCCCGAGAGTTAAAGGGACGAACTCTCACCGCCACCTTCACCGAGGCCCCTGCCATGGTGCCTCCGTCTGTGTGTTCAGAGCCCTCCTTTAAACGTTCAGGTCACTGCTCACCTGTCAAGACAAACATGGAGGATTAAAACACCGATTCCAGGTTAAACTCGAAGATCTTTATACACTCCAAGATATACTGGGTTATTCAATTATTCATTCATTTTCTTTTCAACTTAGTCGCCAGAGCAGAATGAACCAACAACTTATCCAGCATATGTTTTTACACAGCCGATGCCCTTCCAGCTGCAACCCATCACTGGGGAAAACCCGCACACTCTCATTCATACACAATTTTAGCCTACCCAATTCATTCTGGGTTATTTTATTACACATTTAGGTGAAAATATCCTGATTTTTTTATTAAATTCAACCCAATGACTAGATTTGTCTATCCTTTCTCAAATTTGAGTAGAAATAACAAATTTTTTTGTTATATAGTTATATATCTCTTTATACACAAATAATACCTGCTATTTTATCAGTTAAGTAGTGCAAACTATATTGTTAACTGTTTTCATGATGTTCTGATATTTTAAGTAAACATACTTCATATGTATTTAAAAAGTCATCGTTTCACATGATCTGATGCTACTGAATAACCTTGTTGCTTTTGGCCTCTGGGCTGCTTGGCCCCTTAATTGCTGCTTGGAGCTAAATGTATTGCTATTATTACTATTGTTATTATTATTATGTATTAATAGTAGATTTGGTTATTACTACTCCTATTTTGTTCTATTTTGCCCTTCTGTGGGGATCAATGAGAAACAATGTTAACTGCCTACATGACATCGAAATGACAGTAAGGCTGATTTTTGACATTTATGAAATATTTCAGTTTTATAAAATGTCTTTTTGCTTTTAGCATTAAAACAATATTCAATAATAATTAATAAGACAATTATAATTTAAAACAAAAGCTATTATATTAATATCATAATTTTTTTATATATTACACATTTTAAATATATATATTTTTTAGAATTACAACTATAATTAATTATATATATATATATATATATATATATATATATATATATATATATATATATATATATATATATATATATATATATATATATATATATATATATATATATATAATTATTAATAATAATAATTGGCTAAAGGATAAATTATGGAGATTGGAGGAATATAATATATAATATTGAGAATGTACATTTTAATAATTGCACACAGATTTAAATTAATCTACTTTATAATTGTAAAAATATTTCTGCATCTATGAGTAGTTTTTCAGCAAATAAGAAAAAGGTTTAACTTATTTTGTACTTTCATTACTATACAGTATATCAGCCTAGAAATAATAATTTAAACCCTTCCCCAATGGAAATTGCAGCTTCCGGGAAGCCTTTTGGGAATTTTTATTATTTATATTAATATAACACATATACATTATTATTATTATTATAAACGGACTACAGGGTAAGAGGTTTTGTAGAATGTAGGAAGGTAATATAAAATATTTAGAATGTACATGCTAATAATTGCACACAGAATCAAATTAATTTATTTTATCATTTTATCTTCTGCATGTATGAGTAGCTCTTGTGCAAATAAGAAAAAGATCTAACTTACAGCATGTTGTACTTCCATTACTATACAGTGTATCAGCCGAGAAATATTGATTTAAACCCTTCCCCGTTGGAAATTAAATTACAGCAACTTTCGGGAAGCCTGTAAATCTTAGCTGCCCATCACTATAGCAACGATGAGAATAATTTCATGTTGAATCTGCTGTAAGAAAAAAATTGGCATGAACAGAATGAAAAGCCAGAAAAGCAAGAGGGATGATTTTAGTGATGAGGTGAAAATATATATCCAAAACGACTCAATATTTCCAACCCTAACAGGATGGTGTTTACAGTATATGACCTCACCGTAAAAGGATCATGCACGGTCAGCTACAGATCCAGAGACACTCGGCCCGGCAGCAACAAAAGAAGTGCACGGCTGGCTAAATGTCAGTTCGCTTCCTAGGATTACAATGGCTCAATAACAGAGCTGGACGCCACAAACTCAGCCTCTTGGCCACACCAAAATGGAGGTAAAATTAATGTGCTAGAAGAGATTTATGGCCTGTAAACCTCAATCTTGCTGTAAAACACACTCTGTGAAATTTACAGTAGAAAAGGCAGCTGCGGTTGCAGAATTACACCATTAAAATTTAAAATATGACTGAAACCATAAAAGAAATGTCAACATTGTACTAATGTACATGACTGAAAAAATCATAGCAACGTTTAAACAAAGTGTCATGCAATTCATTTTTGCTTATTCAATGTATATATTATGAAAATGAATGTCAACCATGTTACATATTTTAATCTTAGCATTTTACAGTTATTTACCATTAAATATCACAGCCATTTTTATAGCTCTACTTTCATTTATTAAGATGTTGCTTCAATTACTAAGAGGTTCATTTGAATGAATGTGGATGAGCTCATTCAGAGATATCCTATGAGCAAAATTCTGCAATGTTCAATTAAGACTGACATCACGCTGAGTCACATCCTGCCGTGTCGGAGAGGATTCAAACTGTCCTGTTACTCCCTATAGTCTTCTTAGACATTTACAATTCAGAAAGGTGGCCATTTTTAGAGATATTGAGATAATGAATAAGTGATAAAGATGAAATTACATTTATGTTGCATGGAATAATATGACTTGCACTTTGATTAATGAACATTTTCATGCCCATTGTAAATAACAAAGTGTAATTATGAACCGAATTAGTGAATTAGAAATGTAAAAAGACAACAAATGAAAAGTGACAAGGCAGCTGCAAGTCAAATAATGTGTATATAAAACAGGGGTGCCCAATTTTTTTTCTTTTGAAGGGCCAAAAACCAAACTTGATTGAGGGTGGAGGGCCAAAGGTAAATATACCAAACTATCACAATAAAGTTGCTATGGTAATTACCTTATTTATTAATATTTAAAAATAAATAGAAAAAAAATCATATTAATAATTTTTTTTTTTTTTTTACATTTTATACTGAACTTACAATAAAAACATTTAAAACACAATAGTGTTCAATACTGAATACGCGAGTCAAGATGCACCTGCCTTTGCCTAGAATTGCTCATCGATAATCCTTCGAGCACCAAATTTATATTTTAAAAAATCTGTTTCACGCAGGCGACGCGGTGGCGCAGTAGGCAGTGCTGTCGCCTCACAGCACGAAGGTCGCTTGTTCAAGCCTCAGCTGGGTAAGTTGGCATTTCTGTGTGGAGTTTGCATGTTCTCCCCGCGTTCGTGTGGGTTTCCTCCGGGTGCTCCGGTTTCCCCCACAGTCTAAAGACATGTAGTACAGGTGAATTGGGTAAGCTAAATTGTCTGTAGTGTATGAATGGGTGTGAATGAATGTTTCCCAGGGATGGGTTGCTGCTGGAAGGGCATCAGCTGTGTAAAAAAGTGCTGAATAAGTTATCGGTTCATTCCGATGTGGCGACCCCAGATTTATAGATTTATTATAGATTTATTTAGTTCATATAGTACATCACAATTAAGGTTGGATCTGTTGCACTCCATCCACAGCATTGTAAGTGCTGATAAGATGATTGTAAAAATGTTGCCATGCAACCTGAAATATACACATACCACTTGAAAAATCTTAGTTTCTCCTTATTTAAAGATATTTTGAACTAAGGGTTTGAGTACAGCCTTAATACTTGCTTTAATATATATAAAAAATAAAAATAAAAAAATAAACACATCAATGTCAATTTCTGGAAAAAAAAAAAAAAAAAATATATATATATATATATTTTTTTTTTTTCCAGAAATTGACATTGATGTGTTTATTTTTTTCTTGATCAAAAATCTGTGTTTTCCAAATATTCCTTTATTCTCAATTTTTAAAAATACTGTAAAAATGATGTTTCAAAAAATTGCTTTATGCTGTCCCAAAACAAATTATGTAAAATAACTTAATTGTTTTTACAAGTTTAAGTAAATTGAACATAAAACAATTAAGTTTTCCCAAAAAAAACAAATTTTAAATAAGAGTTTTTTGAACAAGCAGCAAAAGTAATTTTATGAGTTAATATTATCATTTACACCATTTATTTGTAGGAAATAACAGGTCATTGTTGAATAAATTTGGAAAGTGCACACACAAACACACCTGTGTAAATATACAAATATTGTTTTCAATATTTAAGGTCAGAAAACCTCAAATATTACATTATCACGTTAAAAAACATATTGAACAAGTTTTACTAAATTGTTAGACCAGAGCAATTTATTTTAAGGGTCAAATCAAGAAAGAATACTGTAAGTGTTTTGCAGTGCAAATCATAAAATCATAATATAAAAAAATATTCTAAGTGCCCTTTTTAATTTGGCATCAATCTTCTTGTCTTTAAGTGTTAAGAAATATGCATAAATCATTAATTGTGCCTAACATCCTTTAAACAGTGCTCTCAGAACACACAGGGATATAATTCCATAATCTTGCAATGCCAGAATTGACCAAACTTACTTTAATAATAATGAATTTTGGCATGGAGTTATGCACTTCTCTGCACTCTCTCAAATCGTGATCCATTACCTCTATCCTGAAGGCATTACTGTGTGGCTGCCAGCTTCAGCTTGAGACAATGAATGACACGGCATTTATCTCAGCCGCACTTAGAAATATGTACACAAGGACAGAAGGCCATTAATGACAAACAACATCTGCTCCAATTCTAAAAAAAAAAAAAAAAAAAATACACACTGTCATAATAATAATGTCTGGATTTGTTGACAGGCTCTGAATGGCCGCACCCCACAGCAGTCCCACCCTGGTGACCCAACACCAAATAAACACACAGAGGCTCATTAATACTGCATTGTCCTCTAGAACGAGCCGACAATGGAAAAAAACTCTTACCTCTACAATGGTGATCCTCTGATGCAGCTCTCAGCTATTGACTCTACAGAATCAGCTCCCACCGCTGCCTTCTCAAATTTTCCTTTTTCTGCTCTTCCTCTGATATGGAGAAAACAGTCTGGGTTTCCCTTGGTTAAACAGAAGATCCTTTATTTGCTCCACAGAGGGATGTCGTGTAGCCGGATGCCCGCTAAGGCCTGCTTCTTGGAGGAGAGATCTTTGAGTGTTCTGTAATGTAGAAGCCAAAATGGCTCTGCTGGCTCTGCCTAGAGCTGTGATGCTGAGACTGGCTGAA